GGATGAAGCCGGGGAAATAGCTTGGGGAAACTGCGCTGGGAGGGAGCGAGACCGGATGCTCGACGGGATGAAGCCGTGGAAATAGCTTGGGAAAACTGCGCTGGGAGGGAGCGAGACCGGATGCTCGACGGGATGAAGCCGTGGAAATAGCTTGGGAAAACTGCGCTGGGAGGGAGCGAGACCGGATGCTCGACGGGATGAAGCCGTGGAAATAGCTTGGGAAAACTGCGCTGGGAGGGAGCGAGACCGGATGCTCGACGGGATGAAGCCGTGGAAATAGCTTGGGGAAACTTCGCTGGGAGGGAGCGAGACCGGATGCTGGACGGATGAAGCCGTGGAAATAGCTCTTGAGGAAATTGCGCTGGGAAGGAGCGAGACAGGATGCTGGACGGGATGAAGCCGTGGAAATAGCTTGGGGAAACTTCGCTGGGAGGGAGCGAGACCGGATGCTGGGCGGGATGAAGCCGTGGAAATAGCTTGGGGAAACTTCGCTGGGAGGGAACGAGACCGGATGCTGGACGGGATGAAGCCGTGGAAATAGCTTGGGGAAACTTCGCTGGGAAGGAGCGAGACCGGATGCTGGACGGGATGAAGCCGTGGAAATAGCTTGGGGAAACTTCGCTGGGAGGGAGCGAGGCCGGATGCTGGACGGGATGAAGCCGTGGAAATAGCTTGGGGAAAACTTCGCTGGGAGGGAGCGAGACCGGATGCTGGACGGGATGAAGCCGTGGAAATAGCTTGGGGAAACTTCGCTGGGAAGGAGCGAGACCGGATGCTGGACGGGATGAAGCCGTGGAAATAGCTTGGGGAAACTTCGCTGGGAGGGAGCGAGACCGGATGCTGGACGGGATGAAGCCGTGGAAATAGCTTGGGGAAACTTCGCTGGGAAGGAGCGAGACCGGATGCTGACGGGATGAAGCCGTGGAAATAGCTTGGGGAAACTTCGCTGGGAAGGACCGAGACTGGATGCTGGACGGGATGAAGCCGTGGAAATAGCTTGGGGAAACTTCGCTGGGAGGGAGCGAGACAGCATGCTGGACGGGACAAAACCGTGGAAAATAGCTTGTGGAAACTTCGCTGGGAGGGAGCGAGACCGGATGCTGGACGGGACAAAACCGTGGAAATAGCTTCGGGAAACTGCGCGGGGAGGGAGCGGGACAGCATGCTGGACGGGACAAAACCGTGGAAAATAGCTTGGGGAAAGTGCGCTGGATGGGAGCGAGACAGCATGCTGGACGGATAGGAAACCTTGAAAATAGTTTGCGGCAGAACTGTTGGCACGGGTTTTTTCAGGACAAATGCCATCATTGCGATTGGCCTGAAAAAATTGTGGACCCAAGACTGGTCAAATGGTCCCAAGACCGGTCAAACGGTTTGCAAAGGCTGAAAAATGGGACATGCACAGAGAAGCTTTTACACAAAAAAAGCCTTTACACAGAAACTTTGACACACGGACGCGTTTACACAGACGCAGAGGAGTCTTGACACAGAAGCCTTTACGCACAGAAGCTTTTTTGCACAGAGTAGCTTTTACACACAGAAGTCTTTACACAGAGAAGTCTTGAGACAGAGAAGCCTGTACACACAAAGGCTTTTACAGAGAGAAGCCTTTTGTACAAAGAAGTCTTGACACAGAGGAGCTTTTACGAGAGAAGTCCTTACACAAACGAGATTTACACACAGAAGGTGTTACAGATAGACATTCTTTCGGCGCACAGAAACTTTAACACAGAGCAGCTTGTACACACAGAAGCTTTTACACAAAAAAGCCTTTACACAGAGAAGTTTTTCACACAGGAGCTTTTGCACAAGAAAACTTTTACACAGGAAAGCTTTTACACACAGAAACTTTCACACACAGAAGCTTTGTACACCGAGAAGTCTTACACAGAGGAGCTTTTACGCACAGACGCATTTACACAGAGAAGCCTTTACACAGAGAAGCCTTTACGCACAGACGCGTTTACACAGAGAAGTCTTTGCACAGAGGAGCTTTTGCACACAGAATCTTGTACACACAGACGCTTTCACACACACACAGGAGGTTTTACAAACAGACAACTTTACGGTGCACAGATTTTTTACACAGAGCAGCTTTTACGCAGCGAAGCTTGTACACACAGGGGGCTTTTTTACACAGAAGCTTTTACATAAGGTTTTTTTAATACACAGAAGCTTTTACACACAGAAACCTTTACACACAGAAGCTTTTACACACAGAAACTTTTACGAAGGTTTTACACACAGAAGCTTTTAACACAAAAAAACCTTTAAACAAAGGAGCTTTTACACACAGACGGGTTTACACAGAGAAGTCTTTACACACGGAGGCGTTTACACAGGAAAGAGTTTACACGGAAGCGTTTACACAGAGTAGTTTTTACACAGAGAAATCTTTACACAAAGAAGTCTTGACACAGAGAAGCTTGCACACACAGAGGCTTTTACACACAGAAGCCTTTTACACAGAGCGGCTTTTTCACAGAGGAGCTTTTACACAGAGGAACTTTTACACAGAGAAGCTTGTACACTCAGAGGCTTTGACACAGAGAAGTCTTTTACACAGAGAAGCTTTTGCACACAGAAGCTTTACACAAACAAAGCCTTAACACAGAGGAGCTTTTACAGACAGAAGCTGGTACGCAAAGAAACTTTCGCAAACAGAAACTTTTAGACACAGAGCGCGTTTTACACAGAAGATTTTACACACAAGAGCTTTTACACCAAAAACCTTTACACAGAGAAGTTCTTGCCCACAGAAGCTTTTACTTGCAGAAGCTTTTATGCAAAGAAGCTTTTGTACAGAGAAGTCTTTACCCATCTTTTATCATGTCTCATTTTTCATGATCATTTGCCATCTGTCACCTTCATATATATCTTCGTTTTCATGCTCTTTTGGTCAGCTCCCTCTGTCGTTTAATTTTCATTTCGTTCTGTCCGTCCACGCTTCGTGCTCGCTCCCTCTGCGGCGAAGCAAACTAAACGAGAACGCAGAAATAGATAGCGACTAGACAGATGGGATAGAGTTAATTACATTAACAGAAATAGCGACTAGAAGACTGTAGGCGTAGCTGACACAGCATGCTGTGGTGAATCGTGGCCCCTGATACCATCAGTGCGCACGATGTTTAAGTAAAGATCTTACGTCGATTTCGTGCAGAGCACAGCTGGCCACACCCCAAGATTTTCAAGAAAAGGCGTGCTGTGTGCCGTCTTGCTTTTGGGTTCTCTGGCCCACCTTGTTTTCATGCTTTTTTCATTTTCAACCTCGTAACATACATGAAATCATGACCTCAGTCAATCTCTAGACTCTGGACACTTGCTTTTAATCAGTGTTAATCACTTCCACGGTGCCCCAAAATCCCAGTGTTAATCATAATTTTCCCTGTTGACAGTGCCAGCACTGGGGAGGACACGCCAGCAGACAAATCCAAATGACTTTCTATGCTTAGGATGGCCCACCAGATACGCTGCATCCATCGATTCTGTGGCCTTCAGGCCGTCCATGTTGTCGATCAATTTGTCGGTGGCCGCTCGTTCATGCCATGCATATGGGTCGAGTCAGTGGGATCCACATCCATTACGGCAAGCAGTTTGTAGTTTGAAACCATCCGGTCTCTGGGAAGAATATCGGTCTTGACCCAGATGGTTCATATGTCCCGGGTGAGTGTGAGCAGATCACCCAGTCCTCAGATAAAATGGCCAGCCCATGGCGTTTTGAGCATGTTCTACCACCATATCTTGTTCA